AAGCTGATTGGCTCCCATGTACAACTGCACCAGATTTGGAGTGAAACAGCTTTAGGAAGTAAAACCCCACAGGATCTCTCCCTGACCGAAAAGAGCTCGAGGAGGAAGAAATGGCAAGATAGTGACTTCTGTTTACAAACACACACACAGGGCTTTGCTTTGATTGGCTACTGCCGACCAGCAGGTTCACAGCTGAAATAATTGGCAAAAACCTGCTGACGAACTTGTGCTGTAGCCAATCACAGCAGGGGGCGAGCTCATGCGCACCCTAAACCTGGAATAAAGGTGGCGATGTACATTACCGTGCCTGCACCTGCCGCCCACGGGCAGTATATTTACTGTGAGCGAGTTAGCAAGTGGTTGACCCCTCACCCTCCTGAGGATTCCCCCCTTCCTGACCAGGTCATTTTTTGCATTTCGGCGCTGTTACTGTAACTGGCAGTTGTGCAACACCGCACCCAGAGGAAATTTACGGCTTTTTCTTTTCCACGGATTGAGCTTTCTTTCGGTAGTATTTGATCGCCTGTGTGTGTGGTTTTTTTTTTTTGTTTTTTTTTTTGTGTGTGCACTAAAAGCAAGAGAAACCCAACAATTTTGAGACAAAATTTTGCACTTTTTTGCTATTAAACATATCCAGTAAAAAAAAAAAATTTCATCAAAAAATTGACCAAAATGTGTTCTGCTCCGTGTCTTTGCTAAAAAAAAAAAAAAAAAAAAATCCCAATACGTGGAAATTAATTGGTTTACATGAAAATTATAGTGTTTACAAATGGCGGTATAGATACTGGGATTTTTTTTTCCCCCCACAAGTAATGGTGGGAATCAGTGACTTTTAGCGGGACTGCGGCGGGCATTCTGACACTGGGGGGGGGGGACTAGGTGTCACTGAAATCCTCAGTGACACCAATACAGGGATCAGTGCTAAAAAAAAAACAAACACTAACACTGGGCAGGAAGGGGTTAATGTGCGGGGTGATCAAAGGGTTAACTGTGTAGGGAGTGTTTTTACTAGGGGGCGGAGTGTGCTTCATTGTAAGCACACTGATCGGGATGGCTGTACTGTGCAGTGTGCCCGAGCTGACAGTCTTCCTCCCCGTCGGTAATCATCAGGCACCGGTGGGTTATTACCGGGACCCCGTGATTGACATCCACGGCCACGAATGGCAGCGTGCGTAGGGCGTGTGTGTGCCCCCTACCCGGAAATGCACAATGGTGTGTGTATATAATTTTGCAAACCCGTGGTGCTGTATATCTGCAGGTGAGTGTTTAATGAGACATCAGGGGTCTAAAAGACCCCGGATATCTCACCTGTTCTTAAAAAGTCTGGTTCAATAATTGGAAAACACTGAAAAAAAAAAAGCTTCAAACAGATGAATCTGACACGGATCTCAGTTGATGACTCCAGTGACTGCCGTTCTTTATGTGCGTTCTCAGGGATCGCCATGTTTAATGGGTGAATCAAATCTTCTGCCGCCCGATCCTGGTGCTTCGCATCACGTTGCCGTATTCCCTGGTCCTTGTCTACTCTGTAGATCACAACGAGCTGTTAATGATTACTTCTGAGAGCACATGGTGATGTAGTACACTAACCCATCCTGACTCATTTGTTGCAGGGAGGTGTTGTGCTGGGGGACTCTCCTCATTGTGAAGACTCTACGGCTCGGCAGACGGCCAGCTCTTCGGTGGTGCTGAACGCAAGAGGCAACCGGGTGCCTTCCTCCTGTTCCAAGACTACCCCAAAAGCTCCCTCGGGGGACGATCCTTGTAAAAGCAACACTCCCTCCCCTTCTCCACAGAGTGTAGATAAACAGGTAAGCCCATCTCCCAGGAAAGGAGGGTGTCTACATTCAGCTGGTATGGTCATATTGGGAAACTCTTGCCAGAGATATCTAGAGAGAGAGATATCGAGAGAGAGAGATATCGAGAGAGAGAGAGAGAGATATCGAGAGAGAGATATCGAGAGAGAGATATCGAGAGAGAGATATCGAGAGAGAGAGAGAGATATCGAGAGAGAGAGAGAGATATCGAGAGAGAGAGAGAGATATCGAGAGAGAGAGAGAGATATCGAGAGAGAGAGAGAGAGATATCGAGAGAGAGATATCGAGAGAGAGAGAGAGATATCGAGAGAGAGAGAGAGATATCGAGAGAGAGAGAGAGATATCGAGAGAGAGAGAGAGATATCGAGAGAGAGAGAGAGATATCGAGAGAGAGAGAGAGATATCGAGAGAGAGAGAGAGATATCGAGAGAGAGAGAGAGATATCGAGAGAGAGAGAGAGATATCGAGAGAGAGAGAGAGATATCGAGAGAGAGAGAGAGATATCGAGAGAGAGAGAGAGATATCGAGAGAGAGAGAGAGATATCGAGAGAGAGAGAGAGATATCGAGAGAGAGAGAGAGATATCGAGAGAGAGAGAGAGATATCGAGAGAGAGAGAGAGATATCGAGAGAGAGAGAGAGAGAAGAGAGAGAGAGATATCGAGAGAGAGAGAGAGAGATATCGAGAGAGAGAGAGATATCGAGAGAGAGAGAGAGAGATATCGAGAGAGAGAGAGAGAGAGATATCGAGAGAGAGAGAGATATCGAGAGAGAGAGAGATATCGAGAGAGAGAGAGAGATATCGAGAGAGAGAGAGATATCGAGAGAGAGAGAGATATCGAGAGAGAGATATCGAGAGAGAGAGAGAGATATCGAGAGAGAGATATCGAGAGAGAGATATCGAGAGAGAGATATCGAGAGAGAGGGAGAGAGATATCGAGAGAGAGGGAGAGAGATATCGAGAGAGAGAGAGAGAGATATCTAGAGCTTTTTTTTTTTTTTCTCTGAATTTGGGGCAGCACAGGCAGTTCTTTCCATGTGCATTCTATGAGACCTGTGTGTATCTGTACAGTTGGAGCGTCTGGTACGTTATGTTCCGATATCTGTGCACTCCTGTCGGGACATTTCATCTAAGGCAAGCACCGAACTGTTAACAAATAACACGTTGTCTGGGCATGCTGGTAGTTGTAGTTCTGCTTTCCCATGTCTGGTGAAAACACTTTTGTGAAGTAAGAAACTGGAGAAGGGCTGCTATTGCTGACCACATTTAAAGGGTAACTCCACTTTTTTGGGGAAAAAAAATGGCAAATGTACAAATACAGAGTATACAAATGCTACTCCAGTCATATTGTAATTGAATGTTCTTAAAAAATCCCTTTCCTTTTTATTCTGCAGCTGTTGTCATTCTCTATAAAATGCAATATGGCAACCTGGAGACGTTCTGTACACAATACAGTTCAATACAAGAGGGATGGGAGGGCCCTGCTCCTTGGAGCTTACAATCTAGGAGACATGGAGATCATATCCCCCCTTATGTATTATACATGGAGATCATATCCCCCCTTATGTATTATACATGGAGATCATATCCCCCCTTATGTATTATACATGGAGATCATATCCCCCCTTATGTATTATACATGGAGATCATATCCCCCCTTATGTATTATACATGGAGATCATATCCCCCTTATGTATTATACATGGAGATCATATCCCCCCCTTATGTATTATACATGGAGATCATATCCCCCCTTATGTATTATACATGGAGATCATATCCCCCCCTTATGTATTATACATGGAGATCATATCCCCCCTTATGTATTATACATGGAGATCATATCCCCCCTTATGTATTATACATGGAGATCATATCCCCCCCCCCCTTATGTATTATACATGGAGATCATATCCCCCCCCTTATGTATTATACATGGAGATCATATCCCCCCCCTTATGTAGTTTACATGGAGATCATATCCCCCCCTTATGTATTATACATGGAGATCATATCCCCCACTTATGTATTATACATGGAGATCATATCCCCCCCTTATGTATTATACATGGAGATCATATCCCCCCCTTATGTATTATACATGGAGATCATATCCCCCCCTTATGTATTATACATGGAGATCATATCCCCCCCTTATGTATTATACATGGAGATCATATCCCCCCCTTATGTATTATACATGGAGATCATATCCCCCCTTACATATTATACATGGAGATCATATCCCCCCCCCCCCCTTATGTATTATACATGGAGATCATATCCCCCCCTTATGTATTATACATGGAGATCATATCCCCCCTTATGTATTATACATGGAGATCATATCCCCCCCTTATGTATTATACATGGAGATCATATCCCCCCCTTATGTATTATACATGGAAATCATATCCCCCCTTATGTATTATACATGGAGATCATATCCCCCCTTATGTATTATACATGGAGATCATATCCCCCCTTATGTATTATACATGGAGATCATATCCCCCCTTATGTATTATACATGGAGATCATATCCCCCCTTAATCTCCTCTTCTCAGTAGAGAATACATTCAGTTCCTCTAATCTTTCCTCAGAGCTGATCTCCTTCATGCCTCGTATCAGTTTGGTTGCCCTTCTCTGTACTTTCTCCAGTCCCCAATGTTCTTTTTGTGAATTGGAGCCCAAAACTGAACTGCATATTCCAGATGAGGTGTTCCTAGTGATTTGTACTGGGTGGGGGGGAACAGGCTGGGTTTTTTTCCCTGCACAAAACTGTACTTGAGCACGGTAGAACGTACTGGGCCGCAGCGGAACGCACATGTCCCGATTTTAAATTGGAGAGGGAAAACACACTGGAATGCATCAAAAATGCAGCAGAACACACCAAATATATGTAAAAAATGCGCATGCAAAAACTATTTATTTTCTATGTACCACAAGTTTGTTTTTATGCGTCTATAAGTGTGCCCCTTTCATGTGTGAATTAGGAAACCATTGATGATTGGCAGTTGTTTTGACCTAAACCCTCTTTTAATTGTAAGCGTCTCGTTTGTTTTTCTTCTGTATCCTGATAAGTGGCTGAATATAGTGGCTCCTACACAATACAATTTTCACTGCCCATTTGTTTTTTTTTCTTTTTGTTTTTTTCATTGTGTTTGTTATCTGTAAATAAACTTTAACCACCTCCCGTCCGGCCGTTGCATATAAACGGTCGGACGGTGGCAGTGCAGGGTTTATAAACGTCCTCCCCGCACCCTGCTTGTGCGTGCTCCCTGGGAGCGCGCAGCACCGCGATCTGGTGCCCGCTGTGTCCTCCGGACACAGTGAAACGCTGATCGTCGGACGGGACCTCTGTACGAGGTCCCGATCATGTGATCACTGATTGGCTAATCAGTGATCACATGCAAAGTAGTAAGCAAGAGGTCACTTGTGACATCATTGCTTACTACGTGTGAAATCTGTGAATGATCACAGAGGTCACATGGTACAGGACTATTCACAACAGCCTTGTACAATGTGACAATCTGTGACCAATCACAGCTCACACAGTATTTCTCAATGGCTGCAAGAATGCAAAGAGAAATGATGGCATTTACATCCTATATGGGTGTAAAAGCAATAGTGTTTAAAGAAAAAAAAAATCTTCATCACCCCCCACAAGTAGTACAGTGTCACCATGGTAACACTGTACTGCTAGGGTGACAGTATGTAAAAATAAAAAAATATAAAAAAATAAAATAATAATGTAAAAAAAAAATGTTTTAAAAATTCTAATTTTTGTTTATAAACTAATTTTGGATTTTTTTTTTTTTACTAAAAAGATAACGGAATAAATTTTGTCCAAGATTTATGATGAAATATTTATTTGCAAAATGTTATAAAAAAAACAAACTTTTTTTTCAAAATTTTTGGACTTTTTTTTATTTTCATAGCAAATAAAAATTAAAAATCCCAGCGGTAAATAAATACCACCAAAATAAAGCTTTATCTGTCTCAAAAAAAGGTAAAAAATTCATATGGGTACAGTGTTGCATGACCGCGCAATTGTCATTCAAAGTGTGATAGCGCTGAAAGCTGAAAATTGCCCTGGTCAGGAGGGGGGGGGAAGTGTCCGGCCTGGAAGTGGTTAAAAATTAATCTACAAATTTAAAACCGTGTGGGCCGGCTCAAACTATAGAAACTCAATCGGATGCGTGTTTGCATGCACGGTTTTGGCGTGTTCTGGTGCGTTTGTGACACGTTCTGATGCATTTTTTTAATGCATTCCAATTCAATTTCCCCCCCTTTTTCTTTAAGTTAAATGGGAACATGTGCGTTTTTGGTGTGTTCTAGTGCTTTCTGGTGCATTTTATGCCTTTTACCACTTTCCAGCACAGTTCTGTTCAGAAAAAATGTTTTTCTTTTGTTTGTTTTGGTTTTGGTGGGCTTCTTTTTTCTTTTTCTTCTTATTTGTTTTGTTTTTTTTTTTTTTTTTTTTTGGTGGGTTTTTGTGGTTTTGACGGCTTTTTTTTTTTTGTTTTGTTTTGTTTTGGTAGGCTGTTTTTGGTTTTCTTGGTTTTTTAGTTTTGGTGGGTGTTCTCGGTTTTGGTGGCCTTTTTTTATATTTATTTTTTTTTTTTTTTTCTGCAACTGGAACACACTGGATGTGCACTGATAACCTACTCTGTCCGTTTTTGGATGCAGAAAATAAAGCAACTGAAACGCATGTAGTGTGAACTGGCCCTGTATGTGAGAACTGTTGTGGTGATTTGAGATCTCCAAACTCCATGTTCAGCTGTGTTTACAATCACATAGGACTGTATTTACACAGCAAGGCAGAGCTGCCTCAGCGATTCACCTCTCCAGCTGCTCCGGTGTTTCCTTTGTGTCCCTGCTGTGACAAATGTTTTACATTGCAGTAAAATGTCTGTTGCCGCACATTGGGGGAGATTTACTAACACTGGAGCAATCTGGTGCTGCTGTGCATGGCAGCCAATCCTCTTCTAGCTTCAGCTTGTTCATGTAAACACTGGCAATAAAACCTGGAAGCTGATTGGTTTCTATGCAGAGCTGCACCAGGTTTTGCATATTCCAGCTTTAGTAAATAACCCCCATAGTGTGAAGTATCCCTTAGAATCATGGGTTTCTCAAACTATTTTCAGGCAAGGCACCCTTTCAAACGGACAGTCCCGAGGCACCCTTTTAACCGCCTCCCGCTTGCCATATAAGGAAATGACGGGTGCAAGGCGGTTTCTCTCATTCTGGGAAGACGTCATATGACGTCCTCCAACTCTAACCGCGCGTTCGCGGCTCCGGGGGTGCACAGCGTGGCAATCGGTGGTGCGCTGTGTCCTTCGGACACAGCAGATCACCGATCAACGGAAAGAGCCAAAGATGTCGGCTCTGTCATGTGATCAGCTGTGTCCAGTCACAGGTGATCGCATGTGATTAAGGAAATGCCGGTTATTGGCATTCCTCTCCTCACGAGTTGTCACGCTGACAGAGAGGAGAGGAGAGCCGGTAATCGGCATTCCTCAGAGGGGACATCTACACTGATCATCAGGGCACTGATGATCAGTGTAGCCCCATCAATGCCACCTACCAGCCCATCTGAGCTGCCAATCAGTGCCACCTATCAGTTCCATATGAGTGATGCCTGCCAGTGCCCATCGGTGCCGCCTGCCAGTGCCCATCAGTGCCACCTTACCAGTTCCTCCTCAGTGCCCATCACTGCAGCCTCATTAGCGCACATCGGTGAAGGAGAAAAATCACTTATTTACAAAATTTTATAACGGAAACTAAAACTTTTTTTCCCCAAAATTTTCAGTTTTTGGTTTGTTTAGCAAAAAATAAAAAACCCCGAGGTGATTGACTACCACCAAAAGAAAGCTCTCTATCTCAAACAAAATGATAAAAATTTCATATGGGTAAAATGTTGCATGACCGCGCAATTGTCATTCAAAGTGTGATAGCGCTGAAAGCTGAAAATTGGCCTGGACAGGAAGGGGGTATAAGTGCCCATTAGGCGAGGGGTTAAAATGGACAGTCCCGAGGCACCCCATTCTAAAATGTGAAAAATATTTATGTATGTGTAACGCAGCAACATCCACACATGTAGGACACCCACAATTAAAGGAGATTTATTCTTCCAGAGCAAATACACTTTTGCACCCTGGTACTGACTAGTATTCCGATGTTTCTCTGCTCCCTCAGGTTTTCTATATCACTGAGCTATTGTCACCCCATCCCTAGTGGAGAGGGGCGGGGGAGGGTCAAACTAGGATGCTGCGCAGGCAGCTGACATCTTCCTTCTCAACTGATGATATTGGTTGTCAGGACGCCGGGGGCTAGAAGGTCGTAATGGTGCACAATGAAAATCTGAGGCTTTGCGTAACTAAAAGGTTGGCTTCTTCCTCCCGCTGGCTTGTATACACGTTTTGGGCAATTTTTAAACCTTTTGCCGAGGCGCCCCTGAAGAAGCCTCGAGGCGCCCCTGAAGAAGCCTCGAGGCGCCCCTGAAGAAGCCTCGAGGGCCCTTGGAGAAGCCTCGAGGCACCCCAGGATACTGGATACCTTGGTTGAGAGAGGCTGCCTTAGAGTGCAGAAAGATTCACAATGGCGTTTCAAGGAGACGCATAAAGATTGTAGTTTTTATATTTCCTTCATGGCCAGGACTGAGGGATTGATATGATGCATTCATATACTGTATATCCCACCAGCTCTCTAGGTTTCGTTTTACCTAACGTTGTTTAAATCATAAAGGAGTGGTGCAGAGCTCAGGAGCTGACGGTGCAATTCAGACCAACCCGACGACTGACTCCTCTGAGGTTTCGTTCACATGGGGCTGACCTGAAAACGGGCACTCTAGATAACCCACACTGCTCTAGGAATCCTTTACAATGTATTGGATGCTTGTGATGAAGTGTGATTGAATGTGTAATATGTTTTACAACCTACTTCTGAATCTGAGGACAATCCATTAGGCTACATTCACAACAGCAATTAGGGCCGCTGCAAATGGTAGCGGCAGAAACCTTTTTGCTTTACAGCTGCAGGTGAGAGCGACTAGGTGCAGCCGTCAGCCACAGGTATTTGCATCTCTCCGCACATCCAGCGACTGCTGGTGGCGATTGTTACTGTACACACAGTGTGTCGGGGGTGGATGCAGCCGCGTGTCCACCTTTCCAACCGCTCCATCTCCGCCACCCCCCCCCTCTGCCAATCCCTCCACTGGCCTCCACTCAGTGCCCTCCACCCCCCTCTGCCAATCCCTCCACTGGCCTCCACTCAGTGTCCTCCACCCCCCTCTGCCAATCCCTCCACTGACCTCCAATCAGTGTCCTCCACCCCCCTCTGCCAATCCCTCCACTGACCTCCACTCAGTGTCCTCCACCCCCCTCTGCCAATCCCTCCACTCAGTGTCCTCCACCCCCCTCTGCCAATCCCTCCACTGACCTCCACTCAGTGTCCTCCACCCCCCTCTGCCAATCCCTCCACTGGCTTCCGATTGCCCAATGGATCAAATTCAAAATCCTAACGCTGACGTACAAAGCTGTCCACCATACTGCCCCGAACTACATCACCGACCTAATATCCAAGTACCGCCCAACACGCACACTCCGCTCCTCACAAGACCTCCTTCTCTCTAGTTCCCTGGTCTCCTCCTCCCATGCCCGCCTCCAGGACTTCTCCAGGGTGTCACCCATCCTCTGGAACTCCCTACCCCAACCCATCAGATTATCACCTACTCTCCTCTCCTTTAGGCGCACCCTGAAAACCCATCTCTTCAGGGAAGCCTACCCCACCCCCTGCTAACCTGCCGACCTCCTCCACTCTTCCTACCACTCCATCCCCCACAGCTATCTCCTCCTGTGCCACCATCCCCATGGCGATTGTTACTGTACACACAGTGTGTCGGGGGTGGATGCAGCCGCGTGTCGGGGGTGGATGCAGCCGCGTGTCGGGGGTGGATGCAGCCGCGTGTCGGGGGTGGATGCAGCCGCGTGTCGGGGGTGGATGCAGCCGCGTGTCGGGGGTGGAGGCAGCCGCGTGTCGGGGGTGGAGGCAGCCGCGTGTCGGGGGTGGAGGCAGCCGCGTGTCGGGGGTGGAGGCAGCCGCGTGTCGGGGGTGGAGTGCAGCCGCGTGTCGGGGGTGGAGGCAGCCGCGTGTCGGGGGTGGAGGCAGCCGCGTGTCGGGGGTGGAGGCAGCCGCGTGTCGGGGGTGGATGCAGCCGCGTGTCGGGGGTGGATGCAGCCGCGTGTCGGGGGTGGAGGCAGCCGCGTGTCGGGGGTGGAGGCAGCCGCGTGTCGGGGGTGGAGGCAGCCGCGTGTCGGGGGTGGAGGCAGCCGCGTGTCGGGGGTGGAGGCAGCCGCGTGTCGGGGGTGGAGGCAGCCGCGTGTCGGGGGTGGAGGCAGCCGCGTGTCGGGGGTGGAGGCAGCCGCGTGTCGGGGGTGGAGGCAGCCGCGTGTCGGGGGTGGATGTAGCCGCGTGTCGGGGGTGGATGTAGCCGCATAGTTCGGCTGCTTCTCCTTGTACAGTAACCTTGATTGGCCCCGGTGACCTTAATGTGAGTGTTGTGTCCACAAGCAGCATGTGAATAAATATTCATTTCACAAACCACCTGCCAGGGTATGTCGTCAGCGACAGGGCAGGCAGCTGTTTTAGATAAGAGAGAAAATAGATTCTCTATCCCCAGCGAAAGCCGCTATTCAACTTCTGAAAATATTGATCTGCAGTGCCGTGTATGCTGGATGACATTGGGTGTGGTGTGTGTCCTAACACTGCTGGTCAATACTAGTGAAATGAAAATTCTGGACCGCAATCCAAAATTCAAGCTGCACCCGGCTGAAAACCAACAAAATATTTTTTTAAATATACAGTTAGGTCCATATATATTTGGACACAGGCACAATTTTTTTATTTTTTTCAGGTGTTTACCAAAACATTCCAGCTTTAGTTCTATAATGGATCTGGGCGGACAGTGCGCACTCTCAGGTTTAATATGAGGGGATGTACATCCACATTGGAGGAGGGTTTAGGAATTACAGCTCTTAACTAGTTGCTGACAGCAGATAGCCGAATGACGGCTGCACTTCGGCCGGCCAGTTCTGGGAGGGCGTCGTATGACGTCCTCCCAGAGCGCGCTCTCCTGCGCGCCCCCAGTGATCTCCGTCATCGCTGTGTCCTACGGACACAGCTGATCACGTGATGTGGTAAAAGGCCAATCACAGCGGCCTTTTACCACGTGATCAGCCATGTCCAATGACCCGCTGATCACAGGGAAATGCAGTTGCCGGTTTTTGGCTGCGCTTTCCTCGCACTATGAGAGTGTGAGGAAAGTACTGCCGAGAACCAGCAGTTGTCATATTAGGGATCGGCACTGATCATCAAGGCACTGATGATCAGTGCCCTGATGATCGGTGCCCAGCAGTGCCGCCCACCAGCTCCACCCACCTGTGCCCAGCAGTGCCGCCCACCAGTGCCACCAGTCTGTACTGCCAGTCAGTGCCCAGCAGTTGCGCCAGTTAGTCAGCACTGATAGGCAGCACTATCAGTACCCATCATCACTGCCACCTATCAGTGCCCTTCACTGCCACCTATCGGTGCAGCCTCATCAACGCACATCAGTGAAGGAGAAAAATTACCTGTTGCAACATTTTATAATAGAAAATAAGAAACTTTTTTTTTTTTTTTTTTTTTCAAGTTGTTTTGCTGTTTTTTTGTTTATAGCAAAAAAAGTAAAACACCCAGCAGAAAGTAAATACCACCAAAAGAAAGCTCTATTTGTGAGAAAAAAAATGATTAAAATTTCATATGGGTACAATGTTGTATGACAGCGCAATTGTCATTCAAAGTGCGACAGTGCTGTAAGCTGAAAATTGGCCTGGACAGGAAGGGGGTAGAAGTGCCCTGTAGGCAAGTGGTTAAGAGTAGCCATCCCCCCTTTTTCAAGGGACCAAAAGTAATTGGACAATTGAATCAAAAGCTGTTTCATGGCCAGGTGTGGGCTACGCCTTCATTGTTCAATTAACCACTTGCCCTCCTGAGGACTCTTCCCCCCCCCCCCCCCCCCCCCTTACACCACCCCTCCTGAGCAGGCCATTTTTTGTGTTACGGCTCTGCAGTACTGTAACTGACAATTGCGCGGTCATGCAATGTTTCACCCGAATGAAATTTAAGTCCCTTTCTCCCATGAATTGAGTTCTCTTTTGGTGGCATGTTATCACCTGTGCAGGGTTTTTTTTTTTTTTTTTTTTTGGGCTATGAAAAAAAAACCTGACAATTTTGAGGGGACTTTTTGCAGTAAAAAAATTTTTTTTATCAAATTTCATCATAAATTTAGGCCAAAATGTATTCTGTGTCTTTGCTAAAAAAAAAAAAAAAAAAAAAAAAAAAAAAAACTCCCAATACGTGTAAATTAATTGGTTTACATGAGTTAGTGTCTACTAATGGCTAATGGCGGTATATATACTGGAATTTTTTTTCAACCATGGGTGGGGGGGGGTGCTTTGAATATTAAAAATGAAATATAATTTTTAGTTTGCGGTGCTTAGATGCAGTGAGTGAAATAATTCACGCCCCGCAGTGAGGTCAGCAATCGTTTCTCTGCGGCCTCTTTGTAGATCCTGATACTTGCGCAGCCCGTCTGCCATCCTGCTGCTGGGGTTGGGGTGCTGGACAGGAATGGGAATCTTGAGTTAAATGGAGTTCTGCTTTTAAAGCGGCAATATAGTCCTGTTCAGCTGAGAAGGTTTCCTGTATTCTATTATCTGAGATGCAGAAATAAGTCCTCTGTCTCCGGTTTGTAAACGTTTATTTGGTAATCGGTACGTCATCCCGCGGCTGCTCATCTTACAGAGAATACACATGAATCCTAGAAGGATATGTTTATCTTTTAGAAACGATTCTGTTCTGTAATGTTTCCTAATCGGTGCTGCTGACGTGTCTCTGGAACGGAGTACTGAGCGCACCCGAGTTAGGGCTCATGTACACGGGGCGTTTGGGAAAACTCTTCTGAACGATTGAAACTGATTGCTGGAAAACGTAGGTTAAAAAACGTCTGTATAGCCGCGTTTGCATTTTTGCGTTTAGAAGTGCTTTTTTAAAGATAAAATCAGGAGACGCAGAATGCACTGAAAAACAGTAAAAAAAATTAACCATTTCAGACATTTAGAGAGGAATAGAGAGAGCAGAAGCAGAGAGAGCAGTATGTGTGGAGATGACCGGTCTTTTCTGGTTGTAGTCACTATGGATCCCATCATGAGCAGAATGCGGCGCGTTCTTCCATATTTCCTTCACACAAAACCTGGAACTGTGCTGGTGTACCGGGTCCATTTGAATACATGGAAAACGCTTTGATGATGAACAAAAGGCTTCGGACAGCATCTGGATATGAAACAGTTAAAAAAACGCTTATATAGCTGCATTTACAAGCATTTGGCATTTGAAACACTGATAAAATCTACTCCTGAACGCAAGTTTGGTGCGTTCAAAAAAATGACTATAAACGAAGATGTGTACAGATGTGGAGACATAGGAAAACATTAGGGAGAGTTCAGGGGCTGCTGAAAAAAACGCAGAAAAGCTCCTGAACGTCCGTTTATCAGCTGCAGTGTACATGGAGCCTTTAGTGAAAGATCGCAGCCGGTGAATGCTGATCATTCTGTGAACTGTCTGCGGTGTCCTGAAGAACTCGCTCTTCTCCTATACTTCCCATGTCTGTTTACACAAGTCGTTCGGCTGCTTCCAATGCCTCGTATTATCTGTTAATAGTCACAAAACGTGAATGAGGCCGATACTGTTCACTCTCTTCAGGGATTGGTTTATGGGATCTACTAATAGATTTAGGGAAACTAATAATATTTACTACGCACGTTCCTAACCCCAGAAACCACTAAACAGCTCATCCCCTCCCTCATCATATCACGACTCGACTACTGCAACTCCCTCCTCACTGGCCTGCCTCGCCACAGGCTATCCCCGCTTCAGTCCATCCTGAATACGGCTGCCAGACTCATTTACCTTTCCAACCGCTCCATCTCCGCCACCCCCCTCTGCCAATCCCTCCACTGACCTCCACTCAGTGTCCTCCACCCCCCTCTGCCAATCCCTCCACTGGCCTCCACTCAGTGTCCTCCACCCCCCTCTGCCAATCCCTCCACTGACCTCCACTCAGTGTCCTCCACCCCCCTCTGCCAATCCCTCCACTGTCCTCCACTCAGTGTCCTCCACCCCCCTCTGCCAATCCCTCCACTGGCCTCCACTCAGTGTCCTCCACCCCCCTCTGCCAATCCCTCCACTGGCTTCCGATTGCGCAACGGATCAAATTCAAAATCCTAACACTGACGTACAAAGCCGTCCACCATACTGCCCCGAACTACATCACCGACCTAATATCCAAGTACCGCCCAACACGCACACTCCGCTCCTCACAAGACCTCCTTCTCTCTAGTTCCCTGGTCTCCCCCTCCCATGCCCGCCTCCAGGACTTCTCCAGGGTGTCACCCATCCTCTGGAACTCCCTACCCCAACCCATCAGATTATCACCTACTCTCCTCTCCTTTAGGCGCACCCTGAAAACCCATCTCTTCAGGGAAGCCTACCCCACCCCCTGCTAACCTGCCGACCTCCTCCACTCTTCCTACCACTCCATCCCCCACAGCTATCTCCTCCTGTGCCACCATCCCCTCCCTCCTAGATTGTAAGCTCCAAGGAGCAGGGCCCTCGATCCCCTCATGTTTTGCATTGTATTGGTATTGTTCTGTCACATGTTCTGTCCCCCTTTGTAATGTACAGCGCTGAGCGAACTATCGGTGCTTTATAAATACTGTATAATAATAACAACTACTAGGATGTTGGGCGTTGCTTTTGGGAAGGGTGAACATTTGAAACCTTCTTGTCCCCTGAATTCTCCATAAACCGTACATCTCTTCCAGTCATATTGTTGAGCGCAGCACTTTGAGTAAACACCATGGTTTTGCTGATCCTGCAATTGACAAGGACGCGGCTTGCCCCGCGAGTCGTGTTATTAGATGAAAGCCAAACGTTACAGCTGCAAGTTCTGTTGGCTATTCTCCTCCAAAGGAGTGTACTTGGTTCTACATTCCATATCCGAGGCAGTCCAGGCTCTGCAGGGACCCCAACAATGTCAGGAACTACCCAGATGCTTGACCAACCGCTATCTCAGCCTCTCCACT